TTTAGCTTTAGAGCTTTCTTCAACCTCCCTCACTAAACAAGATTCAAAACAAATATTACTAGCTGAAAGTGAAGGCTAAGAAGGGTTTAAAAACACTTTCTATAGCTAGAAAACATTGAAAACGAGCTGGATTCTCTGAATTCCTTAAACCCCTTCAAAACTCTTTTTGGCATCCATTACCAAACCTTGCAAGAGTTGGCTTGAAATTAAACTTGGGAAGAGTAGAATATGGTTCTTACCTTGGTTTAAAGGGATAAACTGGAGATAAACTAAAGTTCCCACCTTTGCTCAAGTTTTCTAAGAAGGAACGTGAAGCCTTGGAAAAAAATGACAAAGGAGAGTTGAGAAAATGAGGAAGGGAAAATAGACGTGAAATCAACTTCAATTAAAGGATTTCAGCTTTATTTTTGAACAAGGGTATAATTTCTTCCTTGGTCCCTCCAATTCTGACTACAGATTAAAAACACCCTTTTTAATCTATATTGGGTTTACCTCAAGCCCAAATCCTCTTTAATTTGGGTTAATGCTTCCTACAAGCTAAAGAATTAAACTAAGGCCCACATCAGGTTAGCCCAATACTTCTAACCCAAGATTCGGGGTGTTACAATAAGCATCATCTTTATCAGTAGATGCGGTGTCAAATCTAACCCGGAGAAAAAAGATAAGCAAAAACAATGGTCAAACGACCAAAAACTACTAAAAAGACATAGAAAAACGCATCACGAAGACAAAATTATTCTTATTAAAAAACTAAAAACATATTAACATTATTAAGGATCAAGTAATTCCATAATTCCCAAAATCATTCATATGCACACAAAAATAATCAAATTTAGTCTATTCTCTGACTTTTTTTTAATATTATATATATTGAAGGTGTTGAATTTGCATTGATCATGTTTTTATGTAGAAATAATTATTTGAAAACTTGGAATTTTGGTTGATGTCATGGATGAGTAAGTTCCTCTAAGCTAATTATTGTTATGATATCAGCAGCTACTAACAATTATATAAAGTGGGTAGATTTCTGTCATTCCATATTAGATAGAGAATGGGCCTTTTCCCTTTGAATATTTGGTTACTACACTCAATTAAATAATGAAATGGAAAGAAAAGGCAAAAGAGACATAGGAAGGAGTCAACAGTCTAATTTTTTATACAACTTGGTTTTAATATTAAAATATAACCTTAAATTTTAAATTTTACTCTAATTTAATTTGATTAGAATTATAACTTTTTTTAAGGAATTTTATATATTGTTTTCAGTATGAATTGGATGGAACCTACAGAAACAAGTGAATAATTTGACTTGCAATAAATCAAATATATGACAAAGACAGGTTATTAAGGTTCATGTCCAAGCAAATAATTAGCCGCAAATTACGGCTCTATTGTTTTATATTTTTTTTAATAAAGGATCCATTAATTAATTAGCTTCTTCTTAGGAAAAAGACAAAGCTTTTAGTTTGTTTATCAATTATTCAAATCTTTAAGTAATCAAAGGGTTTCTTTGCACTGTAATAAATTAAAATTTATAAAAATATGAAGAAGAAAAAGGTTTCTGATCATTAAAATAGAAAGGGTTAACTCAAATCGAGTAAAAAACGTGGTTTTTATTTTAAATTTCGAAAGAAAAAATGGGGTTTACTGTTTGTTGCTTATGAAGATGCATGTCCACAAGTTTCACTCTTTGTTTAGGTGGTGTGAACCTGATGATTCGAAACAAAACAAATACTTTACATTTTAAACCAACCTTTTAGGCTCTTAATCTATTTTGTTTTCAAAGCTTGATGTTTCTGACCAATTCTTTTGTAAAACTGATGAGTTTGGTCTGTCCTGTTGTAATTTCAGTGTTGTTGTTTTTTACTTTCCACTTTGAGTTTATTAAGTCGTGTATAAATAAAGTCACTTTAAAGAAAAACTTTCCGTTTGGGTTAATAAACTATTTAGTACTTAAGTTTAGTTTCAATATGTAATTTGATACTCGAGTTTTTTTGTCCCAATTTGATATATAAATTTGACTTTAAAATTCAGTTTGGTATCCACACCAAACAATCTAATGAATATACACAGGCACACATTTGGACTAAAAAATCTTGTCGTATAGTATTACAAATCAGTTTGGTGTATCCATCTTTTGTATTTTTTATGTGCTGAATTGTATAACTAATATATTGTGTAATTCATTCTGATTCAAATAAACTCAATTTAAAAAGTCCTATTATAAATTACTCTTAAAGTCCATTGTCTTGATTGCAATGGTAATATAAACCGTAATCTATAAGTTAATATGAAATGCATGCTCTATGTTTCCTAATTGATGCGATTATAGAAATTAATTCATGATTTTATTTTTGACTTATAATTATAATATTAGTATATTGAATACAACAAAATTTGAAGTTAGAATGTGAATTAATTTTACATTGAGATTTATAATGATTTAGAAAAATTATGAAGAGCTATTCCGAGAGAAAAATGTAGAGATGGTTTAGGGTTGCTACGTGGATTGTTTAAAGTTAATTCAGATGGTGCGTGCCAAGCTGCTACAGGATTTTTTACGTGTGGAGGAGCTGTGCGTGACCACACATGAGCTTGGATTATGATTTATGGGTTGTTTAAGCCATCAGATAATGTTCTATTCTTGATGAAGAGCAGTGGTGAATTTTTTGAAGGTTTAACTGTCCCGTGGAATATGGATTTGCGATTGATTCTTGTGGAAATGGATCAAAATACTATTTAAATCTATAAGAATTATTAGTTAAATATTATTTTAATAATTTTGAATTAAATTGATTTCCAATTAACTCATAATACTAAATTCAATCAAAATTAATAAATAGATATAAAAATTATAATTTATTTAGTTTTTTTAAATAGTATTATATATTTAGTTAAATATTATTAATACGAAATGCAAGATATAGTAAAACTAAAAGGAATGAAAGATGGAGAGGAAGTAGTTGCGATGAATGTGGAATAGCGGCAGAATTAGGCATCCAACAAAAGGTAGCTATTAGTACACATCAATGGGATGACTGACTACCAATGAACTACTTGTAGTATTTCTTGGTACTGCAACATAAATATGATATATAACATATATCAATCACTTGCACAATTTGGCGGTCTTAAAAGCCAAATTCGGCAACGACCCTTCATTAACACCCTCTTTCATAAGCGGCAAACAACATTGATTCAAAGCTATTATTTCATCTGATCTACTCTACCAATTTCTATGGACGGCATCGCGGGCCAATGGATGGAGCCGATTTGGCAGAATGGCATTTTTGGCCCTTTAATTTTCGCATGTTAGTCCTTAAAACTTTTGTTTTTGTTAAATTAATCTACTATTTACATTTCTTATTAAAAATATTGATGTTAATTATTTTTTATTTCAAAAAATATTAAAAATTATAAAAAAAAAAAGAAAAGATAACGTTGCCATTTCATAAGGATGCATTAGTTAATTTTTATTTTTTGATGATATGATAAAAATAAGTAAGTAATTGACAACATTTTAAATAATTCGTTTCTATTTTGTTACATTTGAATCCAATTGACAAAAAGGTTCAAATATCTAAAAATATATAATAAAAGTTTAGAGACTAACATGATTAAATTGATAAAGTTAAGGATAAAAAAGATTGTTTTACTTTATTTATTTCATATTATATTTATATTCATGGAGTAAGAATATATTTATATTAATATATATTATTAACGAACGATTATAAGTTAAATTATAAATGAAATAATTATTTGATTTATAATAAAATTTTGCTTGTATTTACAGTATAACATTATAATTAGAACAAATTAAAATCAATTATTACAATACATAATCAAATTAATAACTAAAGTATTTTGAATTTATATACTAAATTTGAATAAACCATATATAATAATATTTAAATTCAAATTCATATAGTTACGTATTTTGACGGTTTCATTCCGTCATCCTCTAAAATTGTGGATGTATAATGTACAATAGCTTTAATATACGGATGAAGTAAGACGTTATCAGAAATATTAATATATATTTTTTAATATTTTTGATAAAATATTATTTAAAATATTATTTTTTTTAAAAATATTAATATTAAACGCTACTTAAATATTTAATATTTACGGTAAAATATTATCTAAAATATTTTTTTAATAAAAAATATTAATATTGAGTTTTACAAGAAATTAATTAATGAAATTAATATTTTCAATAAAAAAATAATATTTCAAGTAACACTTTATCAAAATACTAAAAATATATTAATGTTTTCAATAATAAGTTTTTTCATATATATATATATATTAAGACTATAGTAGAGTAGAACTATTATATAAAAAAGCATCCTTTGATTATAACCCGGTTATTGGTATTCTTCGCTGACTCTTACTCCGCCTCTCCACGCTCCATTCGGGCGAGTTTTTCCACTCCTGCGTTGTCTTTTTATCATCAAGTGTTTCCCAAATGGAGACTAATATTTCCAGATTTATTGATTTATATCAATTCTTTTTTTTGAAGAGTCCATGATATTCTTGTAATATTCTGTAACCCAATCCTAATCAATTATAAAGTTTTGATGTAGAGTATTTTGTTTGTCCAAAAATACCCAAAATCTCATGCTTTACTCTTTTTTTCTTAACTAATTATTTTATTCGAAGACTATTATACTATCTATATTTGTTTTGATGAAGTGATGCGTTCCATCTAAAAATGTATATAAAAAATAAAATAATTTTTTAATCATATAAATAAAAGGTCGAGTAAAAAGTGTGGGTCAGGTGTGAGTAAGACTGGAAAAGTTTCCATACTAGAAGCCAATTTTTGCTCCTGCCATTGAAAGATGTTTTGTCAAACCCTTCTTTATACAGTTGTTTTTATCTCTCTATCCTCCTATCTTATCGTCCTGACTTTTTATATATAAATATTATATATAATTCAAACAACATAAAGAGATGGAACCCTGAAAGTCCAAAACCAAAAAGCCATTTGAGAACCCGGCAATTAAAGTTTAGGTTTTTTCTCTCACCTCCTGCCACTTGAAGCTTCTTTTCCCTCTTTTTGTGCCTCCAGTTCATAATTACCCCATGTCGGATCATGGATTTAGAGACTTGTACTACTACCATACGAGTGCGTTCAACAATGATCACGATCAGCAGAGTTTTGGTGGTGAAACTGATAGCACCTATAGGGCTTCACCATCTTCCGTTGATCCTTCGTACATGAGCTTCACTGATTGTTTACACAGTACTTCCATGGACTACGATTCACTTGAAAAAGCTATTGGTCTGTCACCGTCATCGTCGAAAGTGTTTTCCTCAGTCAAGGCAGCTCCGGACGATGAAGCAGCTGGTCGGTGCGGAGGATTTAGTAGGTAATACCGGTGAAGTTATGGGACCTCCTAATTCTTCCATTTCTTTTCGTACATGAGCTTCACTGATTGTTTACACAGTACTTCCATGGACTACGATTCACTTGAAAAAGCTATTGGTCTGTCACCGTCATCGTCGAAAGTGTTTTCCTCAGTCGAAGGCAGCATCCGGACGATGAAGCAGCTGGTCGGTGCGGAGGATTTAGTAGGTAATACCGGTGAAGTTATGGGACCTCCTAATTCTTCCATTTCTTTTTCCTCAAGCGAGGCAGGATGTGAAGAAGATTCAGACAAGAGTAGGAAAGATGGGCAGCCAAAGGGATCAGAAGATGGAGGCGAAGTTTAAAGAAAGGGTAAATTAGCTATGATTTTTCGCTTCATTTACATGATATTGGTTACTAATCCAGGGGCATAAGTGTAATTGTCTGGGTTTATTGTATTTAACAGGAACAAAGCGAAAACGAAAGCAGAGAAGAAGCAAAGAGAACCACGATTTGCTTTCATGACTAAAAGTGAAGTGGATCATCTCGAAGACGGGTATAGATGGAGAAAATATGGTCAAAAGGCCGTGAAGAACAGCCCATATCCGAGGTTTGGTTCTTTCACTTTCTTAATTTACAACCAAAATACATATGTTGTAATAATCTTTTTATCTTTTAGAGAATGAAAAACAAAATCCTGCAAAACCATACCTGAAACCTTCATCTTTGCATTACGTCGTCCCCTCTTGTGACTACACCAAGAAGAAGACTCAATTTATGAAACTTAACCTGCAAGCAATAACTTGAGGGTTTCAGTATTTGCCTTTGCAAACTACTAAACTTTTCTTTTCCTTTTTGTTTGATTCTCAATATTTGAATATGACTAGACTTTCTAGGGAAACAAACACATACTTGTGCAGCTTCTTCATCACTATCAAAGTTACATTTCTGATTTTTTTTTTAAAAAAAAATCAATGCAGAAGCTACTACAGGTGCACTACTCAAAAGTGTACGGTGAAGAAAAGAGTTGAGAGGTCTTTCCAGGATCCGTCGACCGTAATCACAACATACGAAGGCCAACACAACCACCCACTTCCGACGACACTGAGAGGAAGCGCAGCTGGGCTATTCCCGCCTTCCATGTTAGCCCCATCGCCACTGGGAGCGCCAAGCTTCCCTCACGAATTGCTCATGCTGATGCCTAATCATCATCATCACATGAATAACCAACCGCTGCTAATTCCATGTTTGCTCAAAACGTTAGCCCTCTTCAGCAGTACGCCCCCCAACTCCAGGTTCCTGACTACGGACTTCTTCAGGACATGGTTCCTCCCAGGTTCCTTAAACATGAACCGTGAGTAACCAACTCCCTTAGTTCCACATCTCTTCACTGTGCGTGTATATATATATAATATGTGATTTAGCTACTTTTATTACTAGATTCTTCTAACTTCTCTCTAGAGCCTAAGAATTATTCTTCAATTACTGGTCTGAAAGGGCCTAACACCAAGAACTAGACGGAAGTGAGATTTTTTTTCTTTTTTTCTCCCACTTGAAACATGGTTGAGTTGAGTCTGTCACATAGATTTAGAGGAAGAAAGTTTCTTTTGATTATGGTTGGTTTTTGAAGAACAAGAAACCTGGTTTTAAGAGGATTGCAGACTTGTAATACTGGATTAACTAAAGTTATGTCATTTGTATATGCATCTTTGTTTATCTTTATCGTTGATGCAATTATTGGTGTAGAATTTGAAAATTATAAATTTATTATTATTATTATATTATTATTATTATTATATTAGAGGACATATATCATTCTTAATTATTGACAACAAAATTAATATTGAAGATTCTAAGGTAAATAACACATTTTTTTAATTATTGAGGTTATTTGATAAGTTGATATTAATATTTTTATATATTATTTATAATAGCTTAAAAACATAAATATGGGGAAGGTACATTAATTGTTTGATCTAAAATTTCAAGGCAAATGACCTAACATTCCCTTTATTTGATATTTATATTTAGACTTTTTTTCTCAATAATTTTATAAAATAGTACAAAAACCATACAATCAATGTACGCGACATTTGACGTATTGTATTGTATGGTATAGAATACTTAATTAATTGAATTTAACGTAAGTTTCTATCATTTAAGATATTTTTATTTTTGACTTGAGAGACGTAGAAGCCACGTTTTTACTCGAGTCTCGAACGAAATTATTGGAGATTAGTTTCGTGTTGAGATCACCAAATTCAAGGGTACCAAAATACAAACCATATAATTCAAATAAAAAAAAAATATGATCCTGCTTGGAGCGTTGAATATATAATATAGTTATATATTAACCTAAGCAAATTATCTCAGTGATTAAAGTAATAATTGTTATTCTTAGATATCTCGAGTTCGAGCACCAACAGTTATAACAAGATGATTAAATGTTTATTGTCAAATGATTGACAATATTTAGAATATATACTATTTTATGATCAATTTAATTTAATAAAAATATAATATATATTAAGAAGTTCATGAGTCGTGGCAGTCAAATTGTGGTATGAACAAAAAAAAAGGAAGGAAAAGTTTCGATAATTATACTTCATTAAGAAATGAGGCGCCTTTTATTGTGTGTGTATATATTAATCTATAGTTACTACAAGACAATATATGTTCAAAGATAACTCTTAAGTATTTAATATTGAAGCTCACACATATGATATTCTCGGTGCTCGAACCACACTCGTACTCCCGACATTCCTGGTGTTTGAATCCGAAACTTCAATAAATAACAATAATTAATTTACCACTAAGGTCACTCGATCCGTATGCATATATAAATGTATATATAAATGAGTATTATTGTAGTAAAATTTTGAGAGAATAATGATATAAATAAAGTGTTACTAGTTCTTAAAATAACATTTTGAAAAAGTATTCCGGTGCCTTATTAGCATGTGCCGTTATTTTCTTCCACACTATTAAAGATGTACATAGAAAATATAATTAATTTTATAATAAACGTCGAATTCACTAATTAATTCCAACTAATCTTATCATTATATATTTAAAAAAAATCTTATCATTATAAAGTATATAATATATTACGGATTTATATTAGTATGGATCGAGAGGCAGAATTAACATTTGACTCGAAATAGAAACTCGTTGAAAGAGATATTGGTTCGGTATAGAATAAAATAAAATCCAATTAAATTAACAAATAACACCGCTTTAACATTTAAACCTGTCTGCACTTTTTGCATGAAGAAAGGTAAAATAAATAAATAGAAGAGTTTCCTTAAATATATCCAGATTGAGATTTTAATAAACTGCGACCAATTCTACAAATCAAATGTATTTATGATGGGCGATCGAGAATTGAAATTATATATACTCCTTACCAATAAAATATTAAATAATGGTCTATTATATCAGTACGACAACTTTGGAATTATATATCCTACATTAACAGCAATCAATCAAAATCAAATTTCAACTTAACTTCCAGAAAAAGGAAAATAAAATAAATTTGATTATGGCCCACGATAAAGGTTTTAGTTTTCACATCAGATTCACCCTCCTATCGCATTATAATTAGGCTCAAATATAAAATAATTGATTAAATTATTTCGTTTTTATGAATTGGTGTCTAAATTATTTTTTGAACCATCTAGGTGTTTAAAGTTACAAACATTATCATTTTAGGTGCCTCAAGTTCTAACGGTCTTTAAAAAAATCCGTTAAGTGACATGTGTCATAATATAATAATTTTGAAATTATTTTTTTAAACTTAAAAATATTTTATTTTTTAAAAAAAACTCCATTTTTTCCTAAAATGTCAATGAAACCCACAAAGTATTAAAATATCTTATTCTAGTTCCATTTGCTCCAACCAACGGTCATCTCGGCCACCATTCAAGGGCGACCGGTCCCATATTGTTGACCAACCACTAACCGATCATAATCCTTACTATCATCTCAAAATACAATTCTCAATTTTAAAAAATCCCAAATACTCAATCTCTTAAATTTTTTAGTTGACAATCTCTTAAATTCCTTTAGTCGATCATGATGTTAATCGTTTAGCTGACTGTGGTAGCTAGCCATTTGGTCGAATGTGGCAGCCGTCCATTTGGTCGGTTGTTTAGTTGACCGTTTGACATTTGGCCATGGAAGCAAGGGAGGGAGAAGGGGTGGGACGCAGGCTGGGGAAATGTTTATATATATATATATTAAATTTTTTAAGAAAAAAAAAATTTCAAAATTCTAAGATTATGACACATGTCATTGTACGAGGTTTTAACAATTGTTACAGTCGAGACACCTAAAGCAATAACGTTTATAATGTTAGACACTTGGATGATTCAAAAAATAATTTAGACACAAATTCTTAAAAGTCGGTATAGTTTGAACACTTATTTTATATTTAAGCCTTATAATTATAAAAAAATTAATAATCCAATATCCATATTTTTAGGTAAAACGATGATATATACTTTCGTATTTTCTTAATCACATATTAGTGATTAGATTGTTACCAAAAAATAATAATGGAATTAAGTTAAAAAAATATTAAATTATATTTTTAATTCGTTAAAAGTTTTCTATACTATTTATTTATAAATATTATCGTTTGAAAAGCATTTTTACTATCTATAAAAAACATATTTACCATTTACAATAGTACCAAACTTGAACTTAAGAAGCTTTAATCGAAAGTACACGACATAATTTTTGATTAAGGGCACACAACATAATTATTATTTATAATAATAAGGTATTGCACTAAGTAATTTACTCAGTTAATCAGTATAATATTAATATAATTAAACATTCTATCTATTTTTTAGAATTAATCACTGATATCTGATATATTAACCGACTAATTCAGATTGGGTACTGTAGAGACGAGAACGACCCTTCTAACTCAATTCGCTCTATTCGCAAACGCTAGGATTCAAACATCTAACCTTGTTTAAGGGACTTAGGTGGCGTTTGGTTCGCTGGAATGTTTATGAGGGAATTAAAATCTGTAAAGGAATTGAAATCTGTCAGGAATTGAAATTCAATTTCATATTCTGTTTGGTTGGCAGGAAATGTAATTGGAATCCAATTTCATATTCTGTTTGGTTCGCAGACATGTCAGATGAATTTGATTTCAGTAATGTAAAATGATAGAATTACCCTTCTTGGTTTTTGCTTTATTTTAGTTTGTTTCACAACTTACATGTAGTAATATATTATAAAAAATTTAAAAATATTAAAATTTCATTTTATTGATTGATTATTCATTTTAATAAATTATAAAAATATGCTAATAAACATCATAAGTTAAAATCATCGCAATCAAAATATGTTAAT